GACCGAAATGACGCTCTCGGTTTCTTTTACACGCGGTATTTGTCAAACAGTTTATCGCTAATTGGATACGATCTAAGAAAGAGATTTCCCAGACTGGGTGGCGTTTTCGCGAACTAATAAAAATATTTCACTTTTTTCTTTCGCTCGGAGCTTGATAACAAAAATCTTAATTATCTCAAAAAAAAGCATTTTCAGCCAACATCATTCTTGTGTGGCTTTATTTTCAATTCTGGAATGGTCTGGGTTTTCGTATTAATGGTTTGCCTGCATATCCTTAGATAAACTTCCCACCTGTTACCTATCATATTTTTTTCCATTGTCTCTAAACTTTATTTCTTCAACCAAATTGATAACAAACTTCCATTTTTCGTGGACACGGAAGTAGGTCAGGTGTTTGACCGGGATACCTTCCAACATCTGTTATGTATCAATCGAGTGTGTGTGTGTTCGACTATGACCTGGTTTTCGTATTATATTTTTTTTCTTTCTTTTTCTTCTTCTTCTCTTTCTTTCTCCCAGATCGCTTGAACGCAATTAAAGAATTATTCTCAAAACCCAAATATTTTTCAGCTCTAAATAATTATCAAATGGTTGACAAACCGTAAAAAACAAATCATATATTTATGAATATTTCTTTTCAGCCTGCCAACTTATGCATGGTGCCACATATCGACTGGCACGGAAACTCTCCTGATTTAAATCCAATCGCGAATCTGTGGTCAATCTGGGAGGAAAGATTTCGTGGAATGGACATACGATGTGCTAACATGTGCATTGGGTCATGTTTCATTGGTAAAATTCGATAAAAAGCAAATAATAACGGAATTATTCGTTTTGTTTCAATTAATTTGAACAAGGGTGTAGTTGTATTAAAAAAAAAATGTAGAAAAGTAAAAAAAAAAAAATTAAATCACAATTCCTACGTCGTAATTTTTTGCTGTAAAAACTTAAATATTTTGTTTCGCTTTCAGTTGAAAAGTTGCTTGTCCTCAACTTTGACTGATCATCGTTTGAGCAAATGTCTAATTTTATTATTCACTGCCAAGTTCCGATACGGGCGTTGTTAAAAGACCTACTAAATGGTCTTAAATTGATGAACGCACCCCACCGGCATCAAAACTTTTAGTCCATAACGTCTCATATTAATGCTTTTATATTGTAAATTCAGATTTGATTTAAACTTTTAGCTACAGACCAATTAACGTAATAATCAGTTTTATTATAGATTTTACAGAAAATGTTCGTATAAAGAAAGATAATGAACGGGCGAATGTTCACCGGCATTTCAATCTGTTTCTTTAAATATTTTTCTTTCTTTCTTTCTCTCCACTAATCGAAACCAACGCTCTGATGATTCTTATGCTATTTTTAAACGAGGTTAATCAATTCTCTTTTTTCTCCATTTTAACAATTAAATTTACGTTAATTGATTAGCAATTACGGAATATTTGAAATGATCAGTAGAGAAATGTGTGGGTTTCACCGAATTAAGATTTCACATTTGGTCTGTATGTATTTGTCCACTTCTTTATATCATTACCTTTCTTTTTATCTGTCTGTCTGTTTATCTATCTAATTATCAATCTATCTGTTTATCTATCTGTTTGTTTATCTATCTATCTATCTATCTATCTATCTATCTATCTATCTATCTATCTCTTCCAGCATATATATATATACAGTGTGTCCATAAAGTTTGCAATAAGAAAATAAAGAAATAATCTATAAAAATGTTATAAAGTTTAATGTACCTAGTTTTAAGTATAGCTAAAATAACTAATGTGATTTCAGGCATTAATGTAAATCAGTTGGCAATTTTTTCCGTGAACTGCAAAATCGTATTGCTAATGATGAAGGACATGTGGAAACTTAAATAAAATTTGAATAAAACCTTAAAAAATATAGATTTACTTCTTTCTAAACCTTTTTACAAATTATTTCTATCGCAAATACAAATAAAGTTATAAATTTTTTAAAGTGCACGTGAACTTCATGGACACGCTGTATATATATATATATATATATATATATATATATATAGATAGATAGATAGATAAATAAATAAATGAACATAGAAGTCACCACTTAGAGGCGACAGTCTGTTTCATGCTAGATGCAGGCCTAACGATTTTATCTAGCATGAAACAGACTGTCGCCTCTAAGTGGTGACTTCTATGTTCACTTTTATATTTACACACGCTCAATCTCTGATATTCAGCACTTTATCCCATAAATATAGCACATCTTAAGACTATATTTCTTCATATATATATAAATATCTGTCTGTCTATCTATCTGTCTGATGATGTATATATCTGTCTATAGAACGATTTATCTGAGTATTCATATCTATCTCTCTCTCTCTCTGTCTGTCTGTATATCTATTTAGCAACGACCGATCTAAGTTTATTCATATCTGTCATATCTATCGATCGATCGAATCATATCTATCTATCTATCTGTCAGTCTATCATCTACCTGGCTAATAACTGACATCCATCAAACATGGCACGTGGAACTAGAACAGTCTACCCCAGTGAGCGAAATAAAGTGTTCAGTTCGAAATTCCAACCACCTGAAGAAGGCCGAAATGTTGTGATAAATATGGCGACAAAGATGAGGACAATAGTCCGAATAATGTAAATAGTGTACATAATACCTCATCTCAGAAATATAGACAGATACTGAAAGGCCGAAACGTTGTAATAAATATGGCTACAAAGATGAGGACAATAGTCCGAATAATGTAAATAATGTACATAATACCTCATCTCAGAAATATATACAGATACTGAAAGGCCGAAACGTTGTAATAAATATGGCTACAAAGATGAGGACAATAGTCCGAATAATGTAAATAATGTACATAATACCTCATCTCAGAAATATAGACAGATACTGAAAGGCCGAAACGTTGTAATAAATATGGCTACAAAGATGAGGACAATAGTCCGAATAATGTAAATAGTGTACATAATACCTCATCTCAGAAATATAGACAGATACTGAAAGGCCGATGCGTTGTAATAAATATGGCGACAAAGATGAGGACAATAGTCCGAATAATGTAAATAATGTACATAATACCTGATCTCAGAAATATAGGCAGGCTGTGGGGTACTTAATAAGAAAAAAAGTGAGAGAAACAGGAAGAAAAAGAAAAACATAAAATATCAGCTAGACTATATATTCGAAATATATATTTAAAAAAACTTTTAAATTTAAAATTCTCAGCGTATCCACTCCTTTGTACGCATGTGTAGTCGCATCAAAATAAACATCACTTTACTCCCATGAAGTCCTAAAAGACGAAATGAGATAGATAGATACAAACAAACTTAGATAGATAAGACAAATACGAACAGACTTAGATAGATAGATATCAGCCGATCCTTCTCTCTAGTACAATGAGAAGGCTCAACCTCGGGCAGTTGTTCCCCAGGGCCAATCACCTCTCAGTTACAAGGTTTACGCACTAGAAGCTCAATATTTGTATTATATATTATCTACTTCTAAGTACTATCACTGTTCAGGTTTAACTAATTTACATATTGATTTTAAAATTTTTATTTCATTAATTAACTGTCGTTTATTACTGATCTTTTATTCGAGGATTGTTTTGATTTTCATGTCAAAAATAGTTTTTTTCGGGATATCGTCTCATATAGTCCAGAAAAGTGTTTGAAATTTGCATTTTACTTGGCCTTCAACAAGTTGGTATCTCTTTGTATAACTTTCGATAACTATAACAAGCCAATTTATGAATGAAATATTTATTTAAAATTTTTGTTTTAAGGATTTCAAGTAGTAAATATATCTTACTTTGCAAAGCGAATGGGCGAAGATGAAAGTTTAGACACGTCTGGATGAGCTTCATACCAAATATGACATCTACACAAAAGTCTATTATCTGACGAAGCTACTTAACACGTTGGCTCGCACACGAACTCGCGGAGGTTCATGGTAGTATGCCTGAAAGATCCACCCGAACCTCCGGTGAGCCTTTTCCATTTTTTTTTTTCTATAAGGACTCTTGAGAATTGGATGGTATGATTGATTGCTTATGAGGTTATGGCACTACACCTTTTTCCAAAATCATTTAAATTTTTTTTTTATTTCTTTTGTCTTTCATTTCGTTTTCCTTTGGGATTTTCTACTGTTGTTGTTGTTGTTGTTTTTTTTTGGGGGGGGGGGAGGGTCATTTCTTTTTTACATACACCATTCATTCGTGTTAGCCATTTGGGTCGTGTCGGACTCTGGGCTGTAAAATGGACTCAGGTATCGAACGACACGCCGTTAAATGATACGTAGTAAATAGAATCTATGATATCCTTGCCTCATATATACGAAACCCTTTTAAAACATAAATTCGCTTGCACCAAAATTAATTAAGATATAATGTTAGGACAATAAGAGAAATGAGGATTGTGAGCCAAGAGGTTAAAAGACATAACACGAGTTTTCCGGTCAAGATTTGTTTTTTGACGGATCTTACGTTGCTGGACAGCTCAAGCACAATCCACCCTGTGTCCAGTCTCCTTATTTTCTACACTAAATTTGTAATAAGTGATCAAGATAGGTTTAAAGAGTTTAGAATGCGTACTCTCTCATGAAGTCGAATACGATGTAGAGCGATGTACCGGTGGAGAAAAAATATCCACAAATCTTTCAGCCTAAGTAAAGACTAAAAAGGAAGCAAAGAAAAAGGCACACATTTTTAACGACCTCAGCAACTCATGAATACATGATTGCACATGTTCAATAGTTGCGTCTTTGTATCGGGTGCTTGTAAGTGCGCGAGTTCATTTGAAATTGCGATTTGTTGTATGTGTAATTATATTTGCATTCTTAACTACTTCTGTTTACATTATCTCGAAAAAGAGTCGCCGTCCAATAATTAGAGACGGGGTAAAATGCGGCAAAATCAACCGGAATGTCGAGTTTGTTGATCAAATAATGATTATCTATGCAATTTAGTTTATCATTTATGTTTAAATTTCTTAGATAGATAGATAGATAGATAGATAGATAGATAGATCTAAAGAAAATGAGATAGATAGATAGATAGATAGATAGATAGATAGATAGATAGATAGATAGATAGATCTAAAGATAGATAGATAGATAGATAGATAGATAGATAGATAGATAGATAGATATGAAAAGTCAGTGATAGATCTAAAGTGAATGAGATAGATAAATACATAGATATATACATAGACAGAACTTAGTGAATGAGATAGATCTAAAAAGAATGAGATAGATAGATAGATAGATAGATAGATAGATAGATAGATAGATAGATAGATCTAAAGACAATGAGATAGATAGATAGATAGATAGATAGATAGATAGATAGATAGATAGATAGATAGATAGATACGAACAGACTTAGATAGATAGATAGATAGATAGATAGATAGATAGATAGATAGATAGATAGATAGATAATGAAAAATCAGTGATAGATCTAAAGTGAATGAGATAGATAAATACATAGATATATACATAGATAGAACTAAGTGAATGAGATAGATCTAAGAAGAATGAGATAGATAGATAGATAGATAGATAGATAGATAGATAGATAGATAGATAGATATCTCTAAAAAGAATTAGATAGATACCAACATCAGGACGGTAACGAGTAATCACACAACTCACTAATGAAGGAAAAGAAAACACAGCTTCCAATTCAATCCAAACTAAATTCTCAGAAAGGAACTTTCGCTTCACAAAAAGAAAATTGAAAAATCCACGCTACGATGTGTCAAATGTAGCAGAATGCATCTAACAGTTGCAGAGTTCGGTATCTTTATTTAATATGCCATAATAGCAGGGGAACCAAATCATTTCTTAAACTCATCAACGTTTAACAGGAAGGCAGTGGCCAATCAGAATTGCAAAATTGCAGTTGAAATAGTGGCACATTGTTATATTGTGATGAGTCGTTTTATTTTAATTCAGTTGCTTTTCATACTAACGTTCTATAGCCATTAGTGATTAGATAATATTGCTACTATTACTGTTTGTATGAAATGGTAATCGGACTAAATCGCTCAATAACAAAAAGCTATGAATGCTTTTGACAACTCCTTATCTCTATGTTTTTGCTAAACAGAAATTGCCTAAGAAGAGACAAAAACCGCTTTAGGCGGGAAAGTGAGAAGAAACCATTTAAAGTCGAAATTTATGTCGGCGAAGATTAAATTTCTGTAAATATATGGTTCCCAAAAGAATCACACAGCAAAGAAGTTTAAGAAAGATTGCGTAATATTTATCAAAAATAACTTTTGATGAAATCATACAAACTCTCTAATGCGAAAGACATGCAAAAACAAGTTGAATATAGAAAATTTGTAAACATGGCGCTCACTGAAAAAGTTTTACTGAAAACGCTACAAGGAAAAATTGACTCATCACCAAAAGTATAAAACGTTATATAAGCAATAAGCATTCACAATGTTATGAAAATAACAGTGTCTTTTATACGATAGTCTCTTCTGCTTTTAAGTAAAACATTTCGTTGAAAAGCAAACGGTTCAAAAGAACAATTATTTGATACGTACTTCAAAGTTTGTGGATGTGAAAAAAAAATAAACATTCATGTAGAGAATTTCCTTTACTTTCAATGAACTGACATAGCGTTCTGTTATCGGGGATTTATCTGTGGTCGTCTGCCATCGAGACGTTGGGAATTCAAAATCTGATAAGAAACACGCAGACGTAGTAGTAAACAAGTAAATAAATCCGACTTTTACTAAATTAACAAGTCAGTCGTATTCTTAAAATGTTTTTATTTAAAATAATACACACAAGTGCATAGCAAACACAGTATACTTCTGATGAATTTCACGAACGAATTCCTTTTAATCTTTCCCTCAAAATGTATGACTGGCAATGTTACTGACTTTTGTAGTGAAAATGAGGAAAGATGTTTTTCAAAACAAAAACAATAGCATGAAATGCAACACGTAATGCGAGACGCAGTATAGACTCAGTTAAGAAAATATGTCTATACTGCTTCTGCTATTTTAAGCATTTCAGTTTTTCTTTTGTCGAAAACTCCTTGGATTGAGGGGCACCCAAGACCCATGTAGACATGGAGAAGCACAAGTTCTGACACAAAGAACTTGACTATTTATGTAACTGTTGTGGTGTCCTCCCTCTAAAGAGTCGATGTTGGACTCTTCCGCCTACTATAAGATTAGTAGGACAGAAGACTTCGGGGAAAAGTGAATAAATTGAGCGCTAGTTCATTCGATACACTCTCATTAGTCGTGTAATACTCTTCTGGTTTACTTACTGTTTAATATACGATATATCTAGAAACCTGGTTTTTGTTATCACTTAACCATTTACTTGGTTACAACAGTAACTATCAACAAAAAAGAATAAAAGGAAATGTCATTGATAATATAAAAAGAAGAAAAATATACCAAAGATAAAACGAATAATTCAGAGAACATTTTCGCGGTGCTAAAATGGAAGATCAGGAAATATTCAAATTTGTAGTAAGATGAACAGGAACAAAGCAACAGAGTCAGACGAGGTCATAACAGAAATGCTGTCAGCCATGGACTATTGTGACATCGATGAGATTTTTTCTTCTCTTGTGTGAGGTATCGCTTTAGAATGTAGGTGATTATGGCACTCCACGTCCTCCTTTCCATTATAGCACTTAATAGCGAAATTTGAAGTAATATCAACATTGTAAATCATGAACAGAAACAAATCAGCTTGGTCAGATGGGATCCTAACAGAAATGCTGTCTGTCTTTGAGGATTTCGGCATCGACAAGATCTTCTCCTTCTCTTATGTGACGTAGGCGATCATGGCACTCCACCACTTCCGTTCCCTTGTAGCTCTTAACAGGTAAATTTGGAGTAAGATCAAGACTGTAGATGATGAACAGGAATCAGCTGGGTCAGATGGAATCATAACAGAAATGCTGTCAGCCTTAGACGATTTCGACATCGAGAAGTTTCTTCTCTTTGTCTTATGCGATGTGTCCCTTCAGGACGTAGGCGATCATGGCACTCCACCTCCTCCTTTCACTTGTAGCTCTTAATAAGTTTCTTTTTTTTCTTTTTGTTACTCCCCCCCCGTCATCCATTTGCTCAAACCCGTTGCTTTCCCCTGTCCCTCTTCCCCTCTTTCAACTATTCCATTCCATCGACCATAATGAATGGTTGAAAATCGGCCTTCGCTTATTATTATAGTTCATGTATATTTTTAAAGGCACTCCAGTGATCATGAATGTTTTGCCTCTTGATTCAATGCCCAGCATTTTGTTCTCTTTCAGACAGGTTCGATGCCAGCACATTTTAAAATTTCATAGTTTAACAAAGACTGATGTTTTATAACTTCGTTCGTTACGAGATAAATTTCTTCTCTTACCAAACCTGTATTAGTTAACAAACTACGAATACTCATATAAACACGATGTAATAACAATCAACTATATATATATATAGTTTTAATGCATGCTACATTTATGGGATTAAAGTGCTCAATATCAGAGATACAGCGTATGTAAATATAAAAATGAACAGGCCTGATGATTGCGTCTAACGTGAAACAGTCTCTCGCCTCTGAGTGTTGACTTCAATGTTCACATTTTCTCTCTCTCTCACACTCACACTCTCTCTATCTCTATCCCTCTCTCTATATATATTATCTCTCTCTCTCTCTCTCTATATATATATATATATATATATATATATATATATATATATATATATATCCAAGTATAGGATTGGTGTATACGGAATAAATTTCAATAACCAACAAATACTATTCTTAAAAGTGTGCTCAATACAGAGTAGAGCAAATACAATTATTTATTCGAAAATGGTAACATAAATGTTATAAATCACTACAAAAATATCCATTTTGTTTCAACACTTCTGGTGTCTTATCAAGTGATGGTGTTGAATGTAGAATAAAGGGTTCTTAAAAAAGTTCAAATCAATCAAACATCCCTCGCTCAGAGGAAACGCTGTTTCATAAGCTCGAATGACCAATCAAAATACAAGTATACGAGAATTCAAAAAACTTGGCAACAAACTTTGGTTATAATAATTATTTAATGCTTTAATATTGTGGTTAGACTAAAATAGGATTTATTCTAACTAATAAATATTAAACTATACGATAAAATTTGAAATTAAAAGTTACCCATTTTAAAATTTAAATTTAATCTATATTACGCTTAAAATCATAAAATTACTGAAGAAAAAAGAAAAAATACATGTTATTCTATTTATTTTGTTTTTATTGAAATTAAGTTGGAATAAACGTTAATATCAAATGTTGCTCCGAACTTCATGACAACAGATACATTTGAATCGTAAACAGAGGCAGGGGAGGATGACATCTTGCTTAAGACAACACACACACACACACGCGCGCACACGCATATATATATATATATATATATATATATATATATATATATATATATATATATATATATATATATATATATATAATTGCAACTATGTTAATGTCAAACTTCATACTTTAAAGAAAAGAGATGAAAATGGACTGCATTCCTCTAAGAAAAGATTTGGTCGTGTCTTATTAATTTCTATCCGGTCTGTTGGGCTTTTTGTTCTACTCTCCAGTCAGACATGACGCAACCCATCAATTGACGAATATTATTAAATATTCGGATCAGCATAAATACACAATAAATAAATAAAAAAAACTACTTCAAAGGATTCTCCCAGTTTTCCCTATTAGGTAGCCTCACTTCCGATTCTGTTTCTTTCTTTCATCTTTCTTTTCTTCATTCCACATTTCTTCTTTTTTTTTTTTTTTTCATTACTTTTTCCTTTTTCTGCCTTTGTAGGTTTTTTTTTTTTTTAATATTTTAGTTAAGCTCTTTCGTCTCTACCTTTCTTTCTTCAATGCTTCTTCGGTAAATCTCTTCCAATCGCAATAAGTCTAACCCAATGGTTCAACTTTTTATGGCTGTCACGCCTTTAGCGGTCAAACCACGTCCCTATCGCCTCACTAGACACGCACGCGCACACACACAAACGCACTCACACACACACACACTCGAGCGCACACACTCGCGCATGAACGCACACCTATTTCTATAAGGTTTTATGCAAATTTATGCAAATTTAAAGCAACTAGGCCAATACTAACTTTGTGATCATACATATAGGGAGCCTTTGCCAGTTCAGATGCAAATGCAATGCTTTCCAATCTCCATGTTGTTTGCTGTCTGCTTTTAATGGCATGTGGTGCGTGTCTTATCCAGACCCCGTCACCTAGATACATACATTCAGAAACTTGACTTCGGTACACAGAATAAAATACAACCTCGATTTCGTATCTATGTTAATTTTATTCTTTGTAAATCAAAATTGGCTTAAATTCATTGTGATAAAGATTCTATGGGTCACACACATCATACCAGCAGGGATGGCCTCGTGTTCACATAGGGTAAAAAAAACATACATTCAAATAACACTAAATATTGTAAATTAAAATCATATAATTTAGTTATTTTTGTGTACTAGTGTGTGTGTGTGTGTGTGTGTGTGTGTGTGTGTGTGTGTGTGTGTGTGTGTGTGTGTGTGTGTGTGTGTGTTTTAGTTACAAGCGTTTTAAGGTTGCATGTGATAAAAGGGGGGAAAATCA